ATTCCCCTCCAACTTACCTCCGACACTTTGACCACCCGCTCCACTGAAATTTCTTTCCAGCAACAATATCGCCCTCAACTCAATCACCCTTGGATCAATCCTCTTCTTCGCCGACACGGTCTTCACGTCCCTCAATACAACATTCCCACCACTCGACATGGTCCTATAGGCATGACTCGCCTTCATCGCCATCGCCGTCGACTTGAACGTCGCCACACCCACGAATGCATCTTGGATCTACACCTGATCAAGACCCTGGATGTTCTTCACCTTCTTCATCGATTGGGGAGCGATACCAAAGAGAAGTTCTTCACCTCTCGGGTACTTCGTAGCCACTCCGCCTCCACCGAGATTCTTTATCTCCTTTGGTCACAACACTTCCATATTGATGAACCCTGGCGCTCACGTGCCGCTGCCCAACTCAAGTTGATTTTCCGTTTTCGCCAGTTCATGATTCCACCTACTCATGCCACTCTTCGACTGTTCCAACTATCTCACGGATTTCTCCAACGTTGTCGTCAACATTTTCGGGTTTTTCTACGACTCCACTCCCACCTCTTTCCACCTCTGCAAGTACCTGCTTCGCCGATCATTGAGGTCAAGTCCCATACACTGGAACACTACCTCTTCACCTTTCGCACCTTTCTACGACAATGGACCCCATCCTTTTCACCTCAATGCTGCTGTTCGCAGATCCGACATGACTATCCTCGCCACCCTGACTCCAACCACATCATTGGATTCGCTTCAGACCTCTTTCCTGGTTTGCTGCTATCCGAAGCCAATTTACAGGACACTGTATGGCCTGAGGAACGCCACTTTCTGAACCATGCCGTCGCCCAGATGGATAGATGGCTTCACTCCTGGCGACTTCCCTCCCACCTTCGCATTGAATGGCAACACTTTTTCCGGCAGGAATGGGAACGCCATCTTCAGCGTCAATCTACCCAAGCCAATGGGTGGTCCACAGCTGAAGTCCAAGCCTTTCGCCGCTACACCAAGGGCTTCATCGTTGGACCTGGAGATCATTTTCCACACACCCTCCTCCTCAAGACCTTTTTACCGTCTCCTACCACGTCTACACCCGTCTTTCAGCCACTACGTCATGGCATCCAACTGATCAGGACCCGCCTACGCGACACTTGGCCACCTCACCTCCTTCAACGATATCGATGGGGCCTGCACTGGGATCGCCGACTCCCTTCGGCCTACATCCTTCCAAAACATTCTCGAGCTTGGAGCAAGGCACGTCCGATCGTGTCCTACACGCAGACAGCTTGCGCCCCACTCAGTCAGATGGTCGCTTCTGCCATTTTCTGCCTTTTACAGATTGTCTTCCCGGTGCTGACCCATTCTTCCTTCCTCCCCTCGCCCCCGCTCAGACACTTCCTGGGAAGACGATTGGAGCACCAAGGATGATGACCTCCTCCTCAGCCTCAAATGCAACGAACGACTTCGACCCAGTTGGCGCTACATCACCCAGAAAATGCAGTGCCCGGAATCCCAAATCCGCGCTCGTTGGGCTGAACTTCTTGACCTACAACGGCTGGCTACATCCTGACATTCACCTTTGACTTTTGACCCACCGCCTCACACCTATTGGAAAACGACCACCGCTGACGTTACATTGTTCTCGGTCGTGCCATCTGTTTACTCCCCTGTTGCTTTTTTGGGTTCCAATCCTTACTTGCCTTCTTTTCGTGTTATGTTGAGTTTCTTTCCACACCTCCGTCTTTTCAGCCTATTGGCCCAAGATTGGTCTCACCGCTTACGCTCTCTCACACCGTTGACACGACCCATGTCCACTCCACCTGACACAGGTCTCCGACGCCCACGCCCGTCCATGGCATCCTATCTTCGGGATTCAGATGAACCTGTCCTCATCTCCACTACCTTTCCTAAAAAGGCTCGGCCGACAGCACCTCCTACTTCATTGCGGACAACCTCTACCTCCTCGCATCCATCGAGTACGAGTACATCCACGGCGACCTCAATACTTTCGAATAACACTACTTCACACTCGACTCGACCTTTGGTAGGACTGCTTGTCAAGCCCAACGGCCAGGAGATACCTTTTCTGATCCCGCGACCTGCACGTCCGTTTCGACTACCTGAGGCAAAGCCTTGATTTAATACGTCACACTGATCTCTTCGGAAAAAACCATTTTACCCACCTGACTTCGTTTGACTGATTGCTAGGAACTTTCACTCAGCTGCACCTATTCCTTTTTCTCGCTTCTCCCGCAGCCTTTTGGTTCCACTTCGGTATATCTTCTCCCTTACTTTTTGTTTGACATGGAGAATATGGACCTTCAACCCGAAGATGTTCGCGTCCCTTCGGAAGATTCCTCTCCGACCCAAGTTCCTCCTGACGACAGCCTCTCACACCAGGACCAACCGGCTGACTTCACGCCTCCTGCGGACCCCACTCTATTACCAAGCATTCCTCGCTCTGAGAACCAATACAACGAGGATTTCACTGATTATGCTCGCCAAATTCACAGTTCAACCCACGGATCTTGGCCTGTCGCTGAACCTTTTGAGGAGTGGGCCTGTCGCCGAAACCACAACATTCGTTATTGGTTCTATCGCGCTTGGTTCCACCACAAGACCCTTCCCTGGGATCACGAGGACATTGGACACTACAAATCAGCAACAGGTTATTTTCTCGATGACCACCCCGCTTCTCAATGGCCATCGATATACTCACGTGTGTGGGGCACCCGGGGCTGGCAGCTGGTACTTTCTGCCACGCAAAAAAGCCTCCCCATCTGGACACAATGCGAACAATACGAGGCTGCTCTTCGCGCTGAAGAAGAACGTATTGCAGCGGCCCAACAACTCAACCCTGCAATTCCCCCCCGCCGAGGCCAAAAGAGACAGGCTGTGGACAATCTGGAACATCTCAGTGTCCAGTATCAAATCGAGAATCTTTTGCAGAACTTCGCTCATCTTGATGTTTCCAAGGTTTCTATGCTTCAGGGCTTACCCCCTCCACAGCAAGAACAACTCATCAACGGGGTTGTTCACACCCTCAACACCTACCGTGATGAACTTCACCAAGCTTACCAGCCCGCTGAGCCTCTCCTGCGCCCGGGCCACTCCACCGCAGCTTCTTCGGCCCCTCATGATCATGACCAGACTGTCACTACAGACCCTGTCAACGAGGCCACCGGACTTCCTCTTCCCCTACCCGATTCAGGATCTATGTCTTTGAATTCTACCTCGACCGGGTCTCAACACACTTTGGAACCTCCCTTTCCTACTGACCGACCTCGAGATTGAATTCTACATCCTTCTCTCAACTGCAGGTAGAGGCTGTACAAGCTTCCCTGAACTCAGCATTGTCTACGCTATGCCGTGAAAAGTGTCTTGTCTCTTTTGGCTGCCTTTCCCCCTTTCCTTTTCCCCTTTTTTCCTTTCTTTTCCTTCCTTTTTCGCTTCTCATTTTCTACCTGAGATTTTGATTGCTTTCCACCGCAGCCACTGGCTCCTATCCCTCCCATTGCTACTCTTGCTACTTTCCTCTACGTGACCTCACCTGATGATTTCGTCCCCGGGTCTTCGTGTACCTGAACCTTTGACACACATGATTCCTACATCTCGCACTTCTTGGAGCGAGGTTCGTCAACCCATCGAAACACTGGACATGGTTCCCGACCTCTCTACCGTTCGCTTTGAATTGGATGTTGGCTTGCTCGTCTATCAACCCTTGAACTACATCACTGTGACTCTCGACTGGCAGCAACTTCAAACCAAGGAGTACACGGTTGACGATCTCAAAGATGTGATCTACTCCCGCTTAGGTCAACATCGTACGGCTTTTTGGATGGCCCTTCCCTCGACTGGTGATTCACGTGTTTGGGAAGCTCCACACACCTGCACCCTTGAAGACCTCGTCCTCTACTATGTCAACTCACGACGGGTACGCCCACAGGGACTTGCCACTGAATACCCGCGTGAATCCGTTCCTTTTCCCTATCGACCTCTCCATACAGTCGCTCCCCGCCTTCATGATGACGCCATTGGTCAACTTCGACTTCCATTGACTGCCTATCAGACCTACCGTGAGATCCGTCGATTCACTTAGTCTCACCCCACTCTTGGCGCGGAGCTTAAAATCTTGCCTCCCTTCGGGGAGGCGTGTGTGTGTAACCCTTGGAATCATAGGGATCCTCTTGGATTTGTACGGTTTTCCTTTTTACTTTTAACTTCATGTCGAAGCAGGGGGCACCGGAGGGGCTGATGAGACCGGTGCTAACAAAGACACTCATCAGTCACCTGTGATACAGTTGGAGACGTCCAACTGCGTACCTGCAATTTTTCCAATTTTCTGCATGGCGCGAGGCTAAGCCAAGAACCTCACGACACGGTCTTGTTTAGGGCTTTGATTCACTTCCTGCAGATGTGCACGAGCCGCCGTCACCCTGTTCGACTCGTTCGCCGTCTTCGCCCTTGAGCTTTTGGCCTCACTTCTTCTTACAGACCTCCAGGTTCTTTAGGACTTTCCTGGACCTTTCAGGATTTGGGTTTCTTAGGCTGGCGTGTGGCACCGCATTCAGTTCAGTACACAATATCCTAAGTGTGTGTCTGTGTTTGTGTCTGTGTCTGTTTCTCTGTCTCTCTGTCTGTCTGTCTGTCTGTCCGTCCTTCTGTCTGTCTGTCTGTCTGGTAAGGTAAGGTATGGTAAGGTAATGTAAGGTAATGGAAGATCGGGTGTGATTTTCGCTGTCATTTTGTGCATAGCTTTGTATAGAGGGGTTCCATCTTTTGCATATCGTGCCCAGAGTGACACATATGCCATTGGCGCGTTTCACACGGACCGCACAATGAGAGAGATAGTATGTAATGGTAAGTAATGGTATGTAATGGCATGTATGTATTATGTATATATAAATAAACAAATAAAAAATATATATATGTGTAGCGACTGTCAGACTCAGACCACTTTCCGGTTGAGGACTGTCGCTCACCTCATGACAACTCGCAGTCGTTGGCAGGATGTGAGCAGTGCTGCACTCACCTGGAACCGCACTGCACCTGATTGGCACCAGATCAAGGCCGTTCGAGTCGAGTCAGTCCGAGGGCCAGTTAAAGGCCCCCGGATCCGAAGCTTTACGGTTCTAACTTGCCGTTTTGATGAGCAGTCATACATGCATTTTCCAAGCTTTCAGACTGATCTAGTTCAGCCGCAAGTACGTTTGGCAGGCCTCTGACTTGATTCTGAAGGTCAATGGAGAAGCTGTTACAGGTTCGATTTGATCCTTTTTCAGTCTTTTTTTGCTTAGTTGTGCTGGCGAAGAATCCGAACAACCTTGCTGTCAGGTGAGACTGTTCATAACAAGCTGGCCGATGCTGGTCCGTCATTGGGCCCAGTTTCGAAGTTTCAGTGACGACCTAGTCGACCTGAGTCGAGCTGCGCCCGGTCAACCATTTTTTCAAGCAGTGGTGGTAGGCCGGCAAGAAGAGGTAAGCTATACAGGCTAGCAACTAGCTGCTAGGCTCGGCACGCAGAAGGGAAACTTCTTTGAAGAACTAACCCTTCGCAGGATTGAATTGGTTCCTAAATTTATGGGGATACTTAACTGTTGACTAACTGACCGATGCTACTCAGGGAGGCCACTTTGACCCTTCAGCACGCTGTTGAGCGCAATCTGGCCTGGGCCCTGAAGAGTCGCCGAAGCCCTGTCTGCGCTTACAGTTGTACTGTAGATAGATGTTTGGAAATGGGCCTTCAAAGAAAGGTTTTGGGGCAGTTCAGAACCTCTGACAACATACACGGAGCATGAAACAATGAAGACGCTTTGGCGGCTGTGGCGTGTTGCTGTTGGCTTCACCCAGACCTTGCAGAAGCCTGGACAACTTGGCATCACCGTGAAATTCGCGTGTCTTGGATAAGTTAAATGGGAGGTAAAGGCAGGCGTCAGTCAAATCGAGAAAGGTTTATTGGGGCGCAAAAAGGGTCACCATGAGTCACCTCGGGTCATCCGCACCATTTCCGAAAAGAGGTTTCCGAAAATTTGGTGCACACAGGTCTTTTTAAATGGAGCAAAGATCATTTCGGCTTCATTGGGGGGAGCAAGCTTTGGCTTTGTTGACTGTGACAAAGTGACCGAGCCTTTTTTACACGAGAGAGAGGTTGCCGAAGCCAAGGAAGTCGTCACACGGCATTTGGATTGCCACACTGGCACCAGGCAAGACTCGCGTGCTTGGTGCGCTTGGCGGCACACCTCTTTGTTTGGAAGTGTCCAGTTGTAAGTTGCCCTGCTTGACATGGGAAGGGCTTCAGTAGAATGTAACGCGCTGTGGGAGAGTCCTTGAGTCCTTTAGGTACAAAGCGGTCTGTGTTCTTATCTGCTGAAGGACTTGTTCAGGATTGGAATGATAAGCATCCGGATCAGTGTGTGGCGGTCAATGTGCCTCGTCTTTGCTTTGTTCTGCAATGATGCAGTTTGTCCAGCCATTCCTTTGCCCATTGTCGAGAGGGTGAATAAGGGATGGTCGAGACGGAGTCACAAAAACCTTTGCCGGATTTTTGCTTACTACTAGGACCAGGAACAAGAAGCTACTAGGGGCTCCTGGCCTTACTACTAGTAGCAAGGACGCTACTAGGGGCTCCTGGCCTTACTATTAGTAGCAAGGACGCAGGGCCAAGCATTCTTGAGAAACTCCCTTGAAGCTTGAGTCTAAGGACCGCATTCTCTCTGCTTCTCGGATTTCACCGTCTAAACGCTGCGCTGTCGCGGATGTTTGGTGCGGTCAGGATCCATCCCGAAGAATAGTGAACATTGAGAGAATGCGAAAGCGAAAGTGAAAGAGACAAACTCTGAAACACAACTTTTCAATTTGCCCCTATACAGAAGTCTTACGCCGGACGCCTTTGGTTTTGCTCAGGTGAATGGAGTGAAAGGCCAGTCACAAGATCTTGTTGCCAAGATGCGGGAGGTTTCCGACACCATTGCAGGGGTCTTAGAGGGTCACTGGTTGACTGCTGTAATCGTTGCAGCAATCAAGCACTTAAAAACTGGAATTCGAGAGAGCAGTTGCTTCAGAATGCTTGAGTTCATCGCAAAGTGCTGTTTGATGATTTTGAAGCATTACATTTGGCACAGCGAGTCGCTAGGTCCTTGTGGTGATGCACTACGATTAGACGGATGAGCCCAGTACGAAGGAAGTGAGGAATGATATCCGCGCCATGTCCAAAAGGACAAGCAGTGTCAGGAAGTACTAGTGATTGTTGCGAAAGACAGGCATGGCTGCGCGTTCCTCAAAAGGAGCCCGGGCACCGGGCAGTTTCATCGTTATTGTGGTGAAATCACAGAGCAAGATCAACTTTTCCGGAGTCTTCGGTCCAGGTTTTCCTGTTTTAGATCAGGCATGATGTAAATGGGCATTGCACCTTTCTGTGACCGAAGGCATTTTGACAGCACGTTATTCTCACAGCATCCCAGCAGATGAGCGCCCTCACGACCTTTGGTCGGGGGTCTTGGGCCTTTCCTTTTCACGGAGAGGAATTGCCAATTCGTGTACTGTGTCCTTCTTAGAAGCCTTCGGAATTTTGTTATAGGAAGCTCAATGAACCAAGTCCCAAAGTAGTCTTCTTTCAACTGAAACTGGAAGAGATCGGAAATTTCTGAGAAGGCGGTGTGGATGCTGCTTGAGAAGTGGAACTGCCAGAAGCTAATGGGCTGAAAAAGCTGAACGTTGTACCGGATCATCCGAAACGAGGCTCAGGCAGTCAGTCAAGGCAAGCATTGGATATCCCCAAGCAGTCCCCAAAACAGAAAGTGGGTGCGAACCTGCTAGTTGAGTAAAAGCTCCATTGAAAGACGCCTTCAAATACTTTAAGGGGGCGATTCCATCGAAACATTGGAGGTGTGCTGAACAAAAACCATCGTCTACCATGCCATGCTACCAAGATCCGTCGAACCCTGAAACCATGATCCGTCGAGCAATCTTCGTTTCTCTCTTCGGTCACTACGACCCGGACAGGTGACAGCAGTGCGACAGGAAGGGTCACGAGAAATGATCAGCGTCACTTGGCAAATGATCAGCGTCACTTGCTTCATGCAGCGTGGATCAACATGTCAGAATGGGATTTGGTCACTCATACTATATGCTGTTTGGATTTGTGATCCAGATGACATCCATGTTCAGATTTCTGTGGCGCTTTTGTGCCCGTTCACCGACCTACCCCCCTGTGATCTTTGGTTTTGCGAGTGCAATGGTGAGAAATGGGAGTCACAGGTTCCTCGCAAGTCTGAAGAGATTTGAGTCCGTTTTACGAAAAATAGCAAGTCTTTGTCAGTTTATGAAACGATTGGAGAAACTTCGGACGCTCCTGGGGCTCCTTGAAGGCTTTTTCAGCTCCTTGGGCTCCTTTTTAACTCGGACGGAGGCGCTCCACTCTCGCTCCGCACCATTGCGGCAGTCATTGGTGAGCACCAGAGCCCAGAGCTTCCTGAAAGGAGCTTCCTGCTTTGTCTCATGAGATACCGAAATACCTCATTTCCTGCCAGTTGATCCTGTTTGCAACCCTCATACCCTACTTGGCCCTGAGTCCTCAGTGTGAGAGCCCTTTTGAGGCCCAATTTGCACCATGAGCGGTCACCTGACAGGCCAGCTTCACCCGGCTTGGGTTTGGTCGGATTTGCACCATTCAAGTCAGACCAGGGAGTGGACGAAATAGTGGAAGGGCCTAGATATGTCTCATACACTGATACTGATAGTGTAGCAGCAGTTGTGCAGGGATACAGATGCATAAACATGCTTTGGATAGCTTGAAGTGAGGTTGTCATTTGGTGTGGCGAAGCAGACACTGACACCGCCCAAAATATAGCAGGTGAAGTAGTATATAACTTCTTGTCCTGCTGTCTTCGTTGGTGAAAGTCCATTCAGAATTTCCCCGCTGGTCAGGTCATGGCTTGCAGGCCCAGCCACCAATTCGGGCTGCGAGCATCTGAGTTGGTAAAGCCTTCAAGCACCAGTCATAAGTGATACCGTTTTGCATTTGGGCTAGGCCTTTTCTCTACCAAGAATGGTGGATTGCCAAAAGACGGTCATGAACGAACTATTGTACAATTGAGGTTCCCGTGCCTTTCAATGGACCGCCTCTGGCACGTCTGCATCTCGGAGTCAGGCTGTGTCGCCCATCTTATCGGATCCAAAGCTCTCCGAAGCACTCCGTTTAACTGTTTAGGTAGACAGATTTTTGGAACGACCGTTTGGAACGACGCTTCAAGGGGGCCGCAAGGCAGCCATGACGTGCGTCGGCAGCTTTGAGCATCAAATACTCGGAACATGACAAATCCAGTGGACGGTGATGAATGGATGCACGAAGACCCTCCATGCGTCCAACCAAGATGTTGCGTGTGATGTTAGGTGAGTGTTTTAAGCATTTTTGAGCTGGGACTGCCGCTGCGGAACTGGCCTTGGGGATCATGGGCCATGGGTGTGGACATTCAGAAGGCTGAAGAGGATGCTTTCAAGGAAACATAGCTGAGGAGAGAGGACAAGCCTGAAGGCGTTCTTCAGCTGGCGAAAGCAAGAGTTTTTCTTGTCAAATATGTCTCGTGTTGTTCCGCAATAGTGGGGAGGCTTGCCAGGTTTGTTTGTCAACACGCTGGCTCTAAGGCTAGCAATGGAGCAGAAAAGGAGAAGAACGGCATCTGAAAAGACATCGTGCACATGGTGCATCTTGGCTTGAAGCACTGGTCAAGCTGAGTTGTGCAATATATGATAATGTATGCATCAATTTTCGAGAGATTGAGTTGGTTGTGTTGAAAAGGTCGCATCGGATTCCTTGTCGTGTTGATCGTGGTGGCCATCACTGCACCAATTTGGGAAGCTTCGTCGCAATCAGTTAATCACCTACATGCTACCCAGAACATTCTAAGCAATTTGATCTCAACCTTTGAAAGGCTCGTCCCCAAATCTTCCCCTGCTTTTTTGTGATGAACACCAAGTACTGTGCTTTTTTCGGTGATGGGATGACATGTTCCTTGTGTGCCTTAACTGGAGCTGTTGGTGGGTGGGGCTGGACAACGTATTTTTCTTTAGGTGACGGTAGACAACATGTCAGCTTCTATGCCCAGTGTGTTCTGAGACCTGCGCTATGCCCAGTATGCTCGTTTGCTCCATTTGGTCGTGAAAAATCTTGGGACCCTGAACGGCAGCTTTTTCTTGAAAGCACTGACATATTATCCCAACTGCAAAGCAGATTTGGTATTCTCCTTTACATTCCCGCACATAGAGGATCATTGCTTGACACCGCTTGTTCCTTTGTCCATTTTCAGAGTCTATTTTTTCACGTTGGCCCAATGATTCGAATCTACGGTTGCAGATCAGCATGAGGCATTCACCATTGCTTCCTGCACTTCCACACGCCCGTGCCGCATTGGCCAGATGCTGACCAATGTCGAGGTTTCAAGAGCTGATGCGTCTATTCGGGGTGGCAAACGATCCATGGTTGAGTCAAGTCTAGTAACAGGTGCCACGCTAGTAGTAACAGGTGCCTTACTAGTAGTAACAAGAAGCTATTAGAAACAAGTGCCACGCTAGTAGTAACAGGTGCCTTACTAGTAGTAACAAGAAGCTATTAGTTAAGTAAGTGTATTGACATGTTTATTCGGGTCACTTTGCGGGTCACTCAACCGCACCTGTGGCCCTCAGAGACAGCGTAAAAGAAGTCTCCAAAATCACCCCATTTGTGGAACCTAAAAAACAAATTGTTGAGTTATATAGTATTATGTCTTACTTGCAACTTGCAAGCATTGGTGGATATATTTTTCGACCCCGTTGAAATTGTACATTTTGAAAGGATCCAAACATATCCAACAATGACAATGCCTGCAAGTGAATATAATTTGGACCTCATGAACAATTTACATTTTCAGGGGTCGAAGAATACAGTGAACATATGCAATAACTGTACAATGTGCATGATCGACACAATACTTAGAGATGAACGCAGCGTGAAGTGAACCAATCGAGTAAGAGAAGTCTCTACACTCTATAGTGTTATGTCTTGCTTACAAGTTGCAAGCATTAGTGGATATATTTTTCGACCCCTCGAATTGGTAAATTATTCGTGTCGAAATTCTATTTGCAAGCATGTTGTACAATAAGCTATTATAGAGTTGCCACCAGCTGATGCAATGATGCGACATTAGACTTTACAAGTGCAACCAGTTGATGCAAACCATGTATTTTTACATGTTTTCTTCCACCCCCACCCCTCCCAGATGCACCTCATGATGCAGGATGTGCATTTTCCGTTTCCAGACGAAATTTCACCCTTCCCAAAAACTACATAGCGGCTATAATATGTGTTACTGACAGCGTAATGCCCCTCACGTTCGGTGCGGGCGATTCGTCAAGTTGGCAACAGCACAGGAGCAGAAAATCATTGAATGGCTGAATGAAAGAAGTCTTTTTTTTCTCTCCAGCAAATTTGTGGGAGTTCGGAGGGCTTACTTACGGCATTAGCTCTGGAATGCCTTGCCCCACCCACTACTCACCAGGCTCTTTGAAGGCTGACTCTGCAATTTCTCGACAAAGTAACCCTTTGTTTCAGGCGCAGTGCGCTGAAGGTGGCGGAGCCAGATCTGAGGACGCAGAGGGGAGAGCCTGTTTGAGGTTTTGGACAAGCCTCAAGTAAAGGAGAACGAACTGCAAACTAGACATTCTGACAGGAACTACTCCATGGTGATGTTTGCACCTTGGTATGTCTTTTGGCTGCATGATTAGTAACCATCGGCGGCTGCTGCCTTTTTGCACCTCGTTCTGATAGGCGATGATCCCCGCAAAAAACCAACCATTGCCGCTTTGCAGTGCTCCTTGGCCAACAACTTTGCATGCTTTTGCCGTTGCTCTGGGCAAATGCTATTTGGATGTCTCATCAATGAGTTTTTTGCAAATAGCGACAGTCTTGCTCGGCCAGGTCTTGACGGCAATGCCAGTGAATCTGAGATTGTTCAGTGCATGGTTCCACCGGACATCGTAGGCCTCAACCTGGTTGAGCTGCGTGTCACTTTCACGAACGCTTGCCGACCAGAGTATGTGGTATTCTTGAAAGCCTTAGTGAAGCCTTTGTGCATCTTGGTCTTGAGTCTTGATGCTAGAGTGGTGCCACGGCTGAAAGCTTCGTTTCAGCCGTGACAGGGCCAGTGGATTTGCAACCGACCTTGGCAGCGACACTTGGATTTTGAAGTCTTGTCGCCTTTTTTTCGCTGTATCGACGTGGCATGTCGACCCTCCGCAACCAGCAACCACGGGTCATGGACCTGAGTCACGGACTGAGATGCTGGTTTCACACATTTAACAGTAAATTGTAGATTAAATGAGCAGGATGTCCTGCGTTGGACTGGTGCTGCATAGTTGGCCGGCAAACATTTCTGTGCACAGTTGATTGAGCCCAGACAATTGCTTCCTCCCAAGAAAGCCACTACGAAAGCTAGCCTCAACCAGAAGTTGATTCCCCTATTTCCCTATTTACATGTGTTTGTTCTTGCGCACTTGCGATTCCTACGAGCAGTTTATCTTCACTGTGAAGTCACCAAGCCAACCTGTGGGTGTGCAGCATATATGTATATATTATTATACATTATATGTTTGTTATTTGTGCCTTCTGTGACTAAGGAACGCCATTACTGCCGGAGAGCCACGACTGGTATGTGGTCTTGCAGCACGCTTCACATGCGAGGCGTTCTCCAAATGCTGCTAGAGAAGGTGGTGCATCACATACGGGATAGGGCTTTTTCAGGTCAAGCATCCTTGTTTTTGGGTTCAATGAAGCCGTGTTCGCAGTGCGCAGCTTGGTCCAGCTTTCAAAGCCTTGGCCTTTTCAAGACCGAGGAGCACTGAGCAGCGGTGCACCCCCCTTTCAATGAGACTCAAAAGATCTTAAAAGTACCTCCAAGGAGCAGAGAAGCGCAGGTGGTCACAAGGGTCCTCCAGTCGTCCTTCCGTCAGTTTGCCAACTTGCCGACGAGGCTGCGGCAGGTGCCACGTCGATTCTGATTCAGCTCGATCGGCTAAGCAAAGCCAAGTGCACCTTGGAATCGTTGAAGTGGGAATAAGGGTTGGGGAATGTTCCATGTACTAAAACCTTGAACCTCGCTTCCTGAAGCTGGTGGTTCCCCAGATAGCGCTGCTATAAGGTTTCTTACGTCTGAATGACCGTGTGGTTGATTTGGGGCTTTCCTGTTGTTTGCCAAGCTTGTTTTCCTACTTGTTTCCCAGCGTGATCTGCAGTTACTGCCGCTGTCGTCGTGTCTCCCAAACTTGTTTCTTGCCCGTGGCCGTGTGAGCAACGTATTTCTCGGGTCTATGCGGGCATCCTGGTGAACACTGTGGGGTTATAGCTTGGCATGCAGATAATGATATCTGCTGGTGGATAGGCGCTTGCGATGAGGTGCAGTGAGAAATCTGCTGTCGCAGAGTTCGGTTACCTTGAGATTCTCGGTGGTGGCGAGAACCAAATAGTAATAAGCGGATCCGGCTTGCCCAAGGTGACGAGATTTTTAGCGAGTGCCGGCAAACCAACCCAGTGCCATTTGGATGCAGTTGATTATGAATCAACTGAGTGAATCACTCCAAGTCTGAGGTACAGAAAGGGAGTTGAAAATATCTTACAGAGCAGACAGCTGATTCAGTTGAGTTTCGAGTCAAAACAGCAATCTCTTGCTCCACATTCGTCAAGTTTTGAGGTTCACCTTCCAGGAATTTGTCTCATGGCTGCAGTGCTCTCATTTTTTCTCCTACCGAACCTTTGTAAAAGATGTCGTTGAGTGCTGGATGACGGCGACGGCAACGGTTAAGTAGATTTGCCAGGCTTATGAATGAAGTTATGACGAATCTTCTAGCTTCCTAATCCATGAGATCGCGAGAGCTTGACAACGTAGCGACATTTGTTATATCCACAGAAGTCAAAGAGTCCGGTCTCGCAGGTAAAGAGTGCTGCAGCCCTTGCCTATGAAGCAGAGACTGGACTTGCGCAATAGACACATGATTCACTGTATCTTTACCCCTGTGATTACTACCGGGAGAGTGTCAGAAGCAAACAGAGTCAAGCCCTCATGTTTGAACTGTCTTTCAAAAGGCCAGGTGTGATGATGAGATTAGCAGTTGTCACAAGAACTTGACATTGTAGGGAGACATCCAAGGATCCCAATAACTTGACGACGCTTGAAGCCTATGCTGCGTGGTGGCATTGTGGAATAGATGAACTTAGTATATAAGAAACAAAGTTGTTTCAAGTACTGAAAGAAGTGCTCTCAGCGCTAAGCTTTTCCAACGTCACACCACAACCTTGACAGCTAGTCTAGCCATTTCTTGACTTAAGTTCAGGTCCCTGCTGCATGTCCTTGTTTTGAAGCTAGAGTCTCTACTAGGAAGAGGGTAACTTTTGCGATGAGCAGGCTAGTTTAGCAGGTTGTAGAGAGATCATTGGCAAGGCCAGCAAGGACATCAAGTTCAAGAGAAAACCAAACCACGGAAACAATTGTGGCCCCGTCCAAAGATTGTCACGAACATCTAAAGAATGGCCTTAACATCCAAAAGATAACAAGCTAGTGAGTGTTGCACGTCAACCAGATTGCGGTAAAGGGCAAATGAGTTCGGCAGTCACGCATCGCTTGCATTGGATTCTTTTCATTTGGGGCCTGGGGACTTGAGGTTTTGAAACTTGAGACTTCAGGGTTTGAAATCGTCTCGTTTGATTCAAGACGTTTGAACACTTCTGCATGTTTTACTTAGGTTCATCTTTTCACCTAGGTGTTTTCAGGGCCTGGGCAAACAAGTCCTATGTAGCTTATCTTGAGTGTGCGTGTACAACCTGGAGTCATGAGCTTCTTGGGCCTCCTAGGTAGTTTGACTTGTATGAGGTGGCATGCGTATTGGAAAAACTACTTCCCACTTGGTTCTGTTCATAACTAGAAACACAGTCTTGGCCTTTGCCTCCGTTCCTCACCTTGTGAACTTTTTGCTTTGCATGTGAACCGCTGGATATATTGAAACTTGAATTTGGACCTACTGGATATTCCAACTCCTTGAGATTCGACAACTTCCTTCTTCAAGATGTTTGGACCCCGCTGCAGAAAAACCCGGACTCTTACAGACCTATGTTCTCTTGCCAAGGTTTCGTCAGGGTTTGATTCATTCATTTCGTACGTACTTTATCTTGGGTGTGTAAACCGTAAACCTGTTCTTCTTTAAACAAGCAGTCATAAGGAATGTACTTGGGTCATTGGACCAGCGACAACACACCTGTTTTGCAGCTCCGTGCATGGCCGGCGGGCCAAGCCCAGAACCGCGAAAAATGGTCAAGAGCTTGCTATTTGTAGCTAACATGGCTCCATCAGTGTCATCCTGCAACCACAAGTAGCAAAGACTTTGTATAGACGTTTGCTACTCCCCAAATGGATGGTGTGAATAGACGTTTGCGTTCACCTCTGCCAAAACGCCAGCTGCAACGTCGTTGATGGTTTTTTCTTTGGGCCAGAAAGGAGGCGAGAGCGGTCGTTGAGTTTCGTTCACAATTTTTACTTAGCTAGTAGTAACAAGGGCATCGCTACTAGGAGCAAGGACGCTACTAGGGGCTCCTGGCCTTACTACTAGGAACAATGTTCGCTACTAGGAGCATTTTTTTCTGTTGCAATTTGCTGAGTTGGACAATCCTGGACGTTGCACACTGGGCTGCTTCGTGGCTCCTTGGCGTGAAGCACGGCGCATTCTGACCCTTCTTATCCTTGCATGGGATAGCGCCATGAAACACAGGTTGACCGCTTTGTTTTGGTCTGAACCGATCGTTGTTCTGCCGACTTGATGAATAGTCCTGGATCATGTCGCAAATCAAGTGGCTGGCACATTTGAGTATATAGTGGTGTGGACCAATCTCATATACCCTTGGTTTCCACATGTTTCCACCATAGGATCTCCGACAAGAACTGGGATTGCATTCATCTGAGAGGCATCCCCAGCCCACAAGCTGACGCTCCTCAGGAGCTCTTTTCGACTGAGCAGCTCCAATCCATGCAGAATGAGATTACCGTGGCCTCTTCACAGGCAAGTGGGGCGTGGCTTGGTGAATAAAGAATGCCGGTTGCTTGGCCTCTTCCTAGCTGCTCAGCCGCCACCCTTGTGCATGGCCCGCCGAGGTTCCCAATGGCGGCTGGTCAGTTTGCAACCTCAAGCTTTTGTGGTGACAATCCAGGCGCGGTTAGGCCCTTTGGTGGTGCAAATATATTCATTGAACGATGGATCGATCACACCAGTCTGAGCGTAAATAGTACGCCTGGAGGTCCTGCTTGTATTCGAGTTCAGGGCTTCTGCGACCCTAGCCAGGCATGGATGAACGTGTCCAATTTTGCAGAGGTCATGAATGTCTTAGTCTTGGATTCCTGCATTGGTGGGTGCAAACCAGATCCAGATATTTGATCATCCGTGGAGGATGGTGACTACTACAAGCACCCAGTCTGTGTATCCGGCCAAGCCCAGTGGTCAAAGCAGCTCGACTCTGTCAACTTTGATTTTCTGTTGAGATGGAACGATCGAGCAAACTTGTGAAGCAAAACGATGGATCTCAGTGGGATGTAGTCGGCCAAGCAGGGTGTACACTCAGTCAAAGCCTTAGATTTTGCCCTGACATGCATGCAGCAGCTTCTCTTCTGCGTATATGTGGAGTATACTTAGATGTTGCATGTGCCAGGATTGATGGCTCGCTCCGAATTCGATATGATGGAGACGAAAGGAATGGGCAGGCGCCACCCGACAGCTTGCTACGAGAAATCGCCTTCAAAGACAGCATATTCATAGAGTTTTTTCTCAACGTGAGCATTTGCCTTGATGGATTTTCCCAAGGTACGCCTTTACAAAAGACCAGTTGCCAATAGATAGATTTTCCTTGCATGAGATTCCTTCGGTAGATGTCTCACTTCAAAAGATGGCGGAGGCAACAGATGGCAATCGCTTTTGATGTTGCCTCTGATCATCCGGCACATGTAAACCCATGTCATGGAACAAGTTTTCCTTGCATCTGGCTGTAATTTAGATAAACCATGACAAAACAAATGAAGCTTGGTACGATACAACTTTGAGGATGGGTCTTTGGAAGAATACCCCTCCTTCAAAAGGACATGTATTTTTCAAGTGAGAATAGTCCCCATATGGTCACACTAGGGGTTCAGTTGATTTATGTTCAAACACATTGAAATGTGTTGAACAACTGGCCTGCCAGGCCTGCCTTTTGAAACCAAAGAAACACACACTTCGACATTGGTTTTCAGTTAGACTCAATTGCCACGATGGGAAGGAAGGTGAGGGAACGGAAAAGCGCATGGGTCAGCAAGAACCGTATGGTTGAACAAAGTTTCGACAGGTGTGCGGTGGCGAGCCTCTGTACAATCCAGCTGCGTGAGAAAGTGGAATGGTTTAGGGAAGGTATCATGAACCACCATGGAAACAAAAGGAAAAGTGGAACAGCGTGAGCAACAGTTGATTGCAGGTACGTCGGCAAGCGTCCTTGCCGATATCCTGGG